AGACACATGCGACTTTGTCTGTAGGTCAGGTTTTTGTGTGGGACAAATCCCAGGACCAGTCAAGATTCCACATCATTCCAGATGGCGAGCTAAACCAGGAACCTTGAAGCTGATTAAGATACACACACACTCAACTACACATTCCCTGCTGGACGCTTGGTCGTGGTAGGACGGACACACACATACACAGTCACACACATCCTTTCGAATGAACTTTTTGTCGCAATAGACAATCATGCATCGTTCTTTTGACAAACTTTTGAGGTCAAGTGCACTTGTAACTTACTAAGGGCCCCAATGAATGGTCTACAAGACCGAAAGGACAATTTCTTTTCTTCTGTGTGCACATTTTTTATTTTAGTTTATTATTTTTCATACAAATTGTAGCAATATACGCGTTGCTATGCAATCTTTAAAACTTTGTCTGAGTCATTGTTGCTCAAATACGTGGCTCTATAAGAATCTGGTTTCTTCTAATACTAGTCCTTGTTGGCCAATTCTAACTTAAAGACTTATATTACATTGTAATCTACTTGCACGGATAAATTGGTTACATGTTCCTGTGGGCTACAGCAACACTAAACTCCTGAGCTTGCCTGAGAAGGACTAAACGCACAAACCCACTATTTTTAAATATCCCACGGAGAGAGAGTCTTACTGCAGCCTGTTTGATTTTGTTCTGAAAGTGTCAGCTTGTAACCCCTTTATGTGGACGATAAACGAGGTTAGGACTTCCATCTGTGTCACCAGTAATGAGGAATACAGTGAGTGTTAGATGGAGCAGTGAGTGACGACAGCTCCGCCCGCAGTTAAGGGTACTGTTTGCGGTGGAAACACTAGGGTCTAGGTACCATGTCTGAAGGGTTACTTTTGGTTCCAAAGATACCATACCTGAAGTAATTGGTGGAAATGGGGCTTAAGAGTCATTTTAAGGTACATCCACACCATGTTTCTTTTTCTAAACCTAACTACAGTAACATGCCTTAACCTAACCTTTGTAACCTAACCTACGTTAAGGATGTAAAATAATTCATGGGCCGTTAATTTTTAGGATATCATACAAACTGTTGTGTGTGCATTTTTGTTGGATGTCATATGAATCGTTGTATGAGGATAGGTTGCCTAAACCCAACAGGCATTCTGTTTTTTTTTTTTATGTACAAACTGACTTAAGTCAGATACAGTTAGTGTAAGCTGAAGCACTAAGTGTCTGTTACCCTATGTCTTGCGTTTATATGTTGTCGCATATATAACCCCAGCACTAAACAAGAAGTAGCCCAATACAGACAGTAGATCCATTATGTTTTCTTTTACACAAAATGTTTACTGGAAAAAATTTGAAGCACCATGTCATGTAGGTCAAACCTGACCCAAACCTGAACATCATTTTAAAATATTTGTCTGAACCTGACCGGCCCGTTGGCTCCCAACAGGTCCAAAGAACTGTAGACATCCCTTGCCCAGCCTTGCCTCTCTCCTGGGAGAAAGATAAACCAAAAAAGAAATCTAAGCACCAGGATACTCGCGTTAACAATTATTTTACTGACAGCATATATTAAAAACCAAGAGAGAAGCGAACTACACGTTTTGCCTGTTGCTTCATCACACTCACTCTGTGCTTAATCGCCATTAAGTCTGTCCTTTAAATAATTCAGCATGTGATTATTTGAAGGACAACAGGTTCACTACAAAGCATAAACAATAAAGGCAAAACAACTGTAATTATACAATACAAAATTAATTTCCATATAAATATTACATTTCATAAGATAAGATACAGTTGTTGTGGGAGTACAGCAGAGGATGAGTACATCCAGAATGTGTACATTTCTATAAAGGTACCATAAAAGTATATTTTATTGTATAAAAGAGTAGTATTTGTATAAAGTACAAAGTACATAAATATTCTTCTGATAAGATATCAGAAACTTGTAGGAAAAAAACAGAACTAGTACTATTGAAAAACACCAGTAGGAGGAGGTGATTATTATTAACAGAGTAGATATGAAACATACCAGTCTTACTGAGGGAAGGGAGGCAAAGGGGCTGTGCCAGGAGGGAGTGTCTCAACTTCACCCACGTACGAGGTCACCTGTACATACAGAAACAATGTAGGTTAGACAAGTACAAGTTCATAAATGGACTCAGGTCTAATGCTTCATTCGACCCATGTGGCTCCAAGGAGTCGGTAGTTCATATCCAATATGCTTCCCTTTTCAATAACTGATTTATGATATTGCCACCCCTAGGGTTAGAAGTGACTCCTGTGAATTTAAGGGAGGCTGCAGAACCATAGTTTCTTTCCTTGTGGTGCCTTGTAATAGCATAATCCATGTTTTCTTTTCAATAGCAGCTTTATGTTTAGCCATTTTCAACTTCGGATTACACTTTGTTTGGCCTACATACTTTTATAAAGCCACATGTACTTCAGTAAATAGATTATATGTGTAGACAAGCAATTAATAAACTCTCTGCTTTTTAACTGTGTAAGGATGGCAAAAATCTTTAGTATCATAAGTGTAAGAGTGATGTGCACATCCACCACATCGATCATTTCTGTACATGTCTTCAGCAAGCCAGTTAGTTTTCATGTTGGGGTCTCTATACATAGAGATTCAGTTGGGCTTGAGTTGGGTATCCTAATGGGAACCGCATCCATTTTACATGGGTCTAGAGTTGACATAAAAACAAACACACATGTTGAAGGTAAGAGAAACTGTAATAAAAGAAAATAATCATGAACATAAATGTAACAAAAAAAGGAACATCACTTTTAAGCATTAATCAAAAGATCTAATTTGTTAGCTATATTATGCCCTTAATGAGGTGTCTGAAACTACCCAGGGGCACCAGAGTGCTGAGCTTCAGCACCTTGTATGAAAACCATGAGACCAAGCAGCATATCTGAAATTAGCCTTTCCAAACACAGTTACCAATGTAACTTGTAGCTAAATTTAGTCTGCAGAATGTCTTCATGCTGCTTCACATGTAGAAAGATGGCCAGCCTCCATTTTGATACAGGGTGCATTAGTGTGAAGTGTAAAGGTCATCTGCTAAGTGCTACTGTCACTCATGCTACCACCAATATTACATGTACTACTAAAGTTAGTTACTAAAGCACTTGAGCTATGACTACGACAACTACTGCTTGTACTGCTTGCAGAAATCAACCACATTTACAACCAGTAAAGGCTTTTTAGTAACTGTTACACTCCTACTACAAAGAACACTCTTGTTATTTTATTACATCCTCAAATGATGGTAATGCTCCATTTTCAAGTGTTGATGGGTGCAGTGGCAGAGTAAATTGAATACAGCTTGCGCCTTTGATAACTATTACAAATGCAAGAAGGGATTTTTTTCATTACAAAATCAAGTTCTATATTTTAACTACTAATAATTTATCTTAATCATGCTTAATGTATTGTGTTGTTGCTCTGGATATAGTATGTAGCAAGCATGTTGTCATGGCGATGTTTTCTGTCTATGTGAAGACACATTTAATGAATTGAATAACTAAAAGACAGAACTGAACTATTGTTCAAAAAACTTAAATAATGTATTAATTTCCTCTATTAATTTTCCTCTATTAATTATATAACTGCCATATGTAATATGTAGGACACTTTGTGGCTCAGTGTACCTTTGGTTTTGCTTTATCAGAAAGATTGCTGTACCAGAAAAAGCTTATTTGTATTTGTGTCTGTTCACAGGGAGAGTACACTCATAGCGTGTTTGTTTTTGGGTTTCTCAATCTGACTTCCAGAGTTTGTTTTTCCCTCCAAGAGGGACAGTCTTGGAACTCACTCTATAGTCCCTGCTGCTGCTGTCAGTGTACTGTAAGCACCCTCGGGCTATGTGGCTTTGTGAAGTTGAACCATGGTAGTGCACTGTACAGAAGGACTCCCTTACATAAGGAAGAGCTTCCATAAATGTTTGAAAAGGGTTGGTTCACTGATGCCACAAAAAACAAGTTACACCTACCACTGTTGGTTTTATTTGCCCAAGGTTACCAATACTACTGCCAGACAATAGAGTTACATGAAATTCATTTTAGTAGCTAAAAAATATTATTACATTGGTAAAATCTCAGTGAGTGTGACTTTATTAAATAGTTCCTATTCAGTACTGCAAAGAGAAATATTTGGGAATTTCAAATGTGATTTTTCAAACCTTTTTAAAGAAGGAAATTACATTTACCTCCTTTGTTCTGGGGTGCCAGCGCAAGTTTCAGAGAGACCTTTCTCAAAACTTAAACTCCTTGCATGGCTAGATGGCTCCATACCTCTGAACTGCTGCTAACATCTTTGATATTTGTCAAAGATTCAAAAAGGTCTGGTGGTATGCTTGATGACAGCCGTTTCCCCAGTTGGGAAAATTCAGGCCAGTCAGAGCTTTGTAGGTGAGATATGAATCAGGGTATCATCTTCCTGTTCTAGAGACAGAAAAAATGGCTTCATCCATGACAAAAAATCAACAGAAATTGCTACAGAAATGACAACCCAGCTGTAAAGGTTATTGTAAGTCAACTTACAAAATAATAACTCTATTTTCTTCCATTTTACACGTGTAACTAAACAATTGTGTATGGGGCTTTAAGCACTGCCAAAACACAGGTGACCTACACAGCGGTACTGTGCCTGAATGCATCCTATCTAAATACTGACAGGACTGAAGCTGCTGCTGCTCAGCTGTCATGCTGCTTTAACTATAGGCAGCCAGCGTGTACACTGTGTTAGATACCACTATATACAGTGCATCAAATAGTTTGTTTTTTTAACTGTCATGTTGCAGCCGTATGCTGAAGTTTTTTAAATACATTTTTTCTCTCATCAGTCTTGAGTCTGTCATCCCCACCGATTTGATGCCAGCAAAACATTTCATATGCTAACCATTAAGCAGTCCAGCAGGGCAATTGGTTCACCACTGGTGACTTAAAGGGTGCATGCTTTCATGTCAAAGTGGCTCTAAAACACAGGAATGGCCTATGAGTACTAGGGATGTGCCGGTTACCGGCGTCATGGTTTACCACGGTAAAAGAATGTCACTGTGTCACTAACCGCCCATTTTCCGTTCCGACGGTAAAGACCGACGGTGTAACCTACTCTACATTTCATAAATGGGAACTTCAGGAACTTAAAACTCAGAAATAACTCTGTGCCAGTCGTACATTTTTAACTGGCACACACTCTGAAATCATGCATGTGCAGCCGCTGCAGTCAGCACAATTATTGGGGGGGCAGCCTCAGTCAGTCAGTCAGTACGTCAGTAACCAGTGTAAATCCACTCACGTGCAAACTGCAAACATGGCTGGAGGAGGCGAAGCTGAACTTTTCCCGCCGGCAAAAAGGACAAAGTCGGTGGTGTGGGACCATTTAGGCTATTAGAAGAACCCCCAGAGCAAGGCAAAGACCCGCTCCTCCCGTGCTGGGCTCCAGTTCCCAGTCGGCCGTGTTCACAGGCTGCTGCGCAAAGGAAACTATGCGGAACGTGTCAGTGCCAGTGCCCCCGTCTACCTGGCGGCTGTGCTGGAGTATCTGACCGCTGAGATCCTGGAGTTGGCTGGAAATGCTGCCCGCGACAACACGAAGACCTGCATCATCCCCCGTCACCGGCAGCTGGCTGTCCGCAATGACAAGGAGCTCAACAAGCTGCTGGGCGGAGTGACCATCATGCACTTAAGAAACGGCTCTATTACTTTTAACGGGTCTATATTACACATTTAAACAACTGGTGTGATGATGCATTGCGCTGACAGGAGATGCCTGGCACTTGCTGTCGCTCATGAACGGTCAAACTAATATTAGCCTACCGTTTTAAAGTGTAGAGCACGAAAATAGGACGACACCTGTTTTATTATAATCATTATTGTCATTATTATTATTACTATTATTATTATTACCGCGTTAATACCGATTACCGTGGTATTTTTGCCCACGGTTACCATACCGTCAAAATCTCATACTGGCACATGCCTAATGAGTACAATAGACTGCTGTTCAGCTATTCCCTGGTACCTCGGACCTTCAGCAAATGCGTGGACGAGGCATTTCAGTCACTGCCCAACCGTGGCATGGGGTCTTTTTTTATCTTGACACCTATCATCATGGTCAATTCGAGGAAATTGGCTATGCAAGCAGTTTGCAAACTATGACTTGGTGTGATATTGACAGCATTGTCTGTCATGCAGGGGTTCATGACGCTGGCCAACGCGTTGGTACCATTGGGACAACCGCAAATGCCAGCCTGCAGAGGTGGTTCGTTTGGATGCCAAGAAGCAAGCGACACTGATTTAAAGGATGAATCACTGTCAATAATCAATAAAATCCTCAATATGGAAATGCATGGTAAAATAGTACAATGCTTTTTTACATTGTATTTTAGAGACTTCCCTAAATTTTACAAAATTGTGCTTTCATGGGAGCTCATGTCTTATCAAGACAAGATAAGCTCCCCCTGGCTTCACTGTAGTTTGCAACCTGTCAGGAGTAACCCTAGTAAGACTTTTTTAGGCACTGAAACATAGATTTCAGTTGGTTATAAACATCTCAACTGTTACCTTGATTTTTGTGTGGGCATGGTTGAAGACCCTCTTTGCTTCTGTTGCTGGCTCTGGTTAGGGTTTCAGCAAGGCAGTCTCTAGGCAGAACTCCATTGAACTCTCCTACAGAATAAAAGTATGGGTTAACTATACATGAGATTCTTCAGGTTCAAGAAGATTAAGGAAACCTTGAGTAGTAACAACTTTCTCTGGCCTTATGCAAACCTCTGTGACAGTGATGATGCTCAAAAAAACGTGGGCAGAGCCAGGACATTTTACTTCGAAGTTGGATGTCAGGCAACTTCCATCGTAGATCATCTGACAGCATAGAAGGTGACCTTCAATGATGTGTCACTTTTTTCTTGGCAGAGCATTCATTTAAAAGTGCTCAGTGTGACTAAGAAGGGTTGATGCAGTGGTGTCTCTCAAAATGTAAAATCCATTTCAGAATCATCTGAACATTTGTCTCAAATTCCAGATAATATTTTGAACTTTGTGTCTGACACTGTTAGATTGCAAATCTGGTTATGCATAGGTCCTCTGCAGCTAAACATTAGTGCTATGATATATTTGGTAAGGAAAGCAAAACCCCTAATTTTTTTGTTGTTCTTTTTTTCCTTGTTTTGGTTTGTGATTCATCAATCTGCTAATAAGGTAAAGCGAAATGCTATCTCTGTACAGTACAGTTGCTTCTTTGTGTAAGGCTGATATTGAAATGGACATTTCTGTGAACAGCTGCCAGGGCAACAGGGTTTAAACCCAAAGAAGTGCTGAAATTAAAACTAATTAAACTAATTATCATAGATATGTAAATTTCATCCAAAACCAATTACTACTATTGTGCATGACAGGGTATGGACAGTTGCCCGCAGTACATTCGTATACATTTAGGCTGGTGGAAAATTTCCAACTGACACAGTCTGCCTCCACTGGTGCAGATGGGGCCTAGATATGCATATGGGTGCAGCCTATTGCGTCTATAACATTGGGAAAGCCTGAAGGAGGGGATTAAGTTAATACAGAGGCTTGTCAACCTGTAGGCTACTTTACATTTATCTAACTGTCACATACCTGCAAGTGACTAAAACGACTCTTTGAGTCTTTGTATTTCAAGACGACAAGGAAAAGTGATCAAAGTGTTCAGGAACTACTTTAGGGGAAGGTATACCCGTCCTTTTTTCCCAGCATACAGTTACCTTTGTAAGACCTTCTGCATCATCCATACAATACAACAGTGGTCCACGTGCCAAGAAAGGCAGAGCTATGCAGACAGACTCAACAGTCAGACTCATCTCACAGAAATACATGAAATGACCACAACCTCTTCACATTATTATGTAGTGGCAAATAATGTGTTAAATTATGTGGTGGCACATAATGTCAGGCTTTGGCTAAGGAGGTGGAGCCTGCAGTAAGGGAGGCTGCGCTTTTAGGACCACAGTTTGAGGACCCTAGTTTTTTGCCACAGCGCCACCTACCGAATTGAATGACAGCAAAAGTGCAAACAAGACAGTATTCCATTCAGATACTTTCTGTTATAGATTTAAAGGTTTATTCCACCCAAATACTACTATCTGTTTCATTATTTATAGTTTCAAAGGTTTGTTCCATCCAAATACTACTTTCTGCCATGTACTTATGATTTAAAAGACTTATTCCATCCAAGTACTACTGTGCCTTGCAATTCAACTTGGCTGCTTAGCAGAATTAGCTCAGTATTCTCAGGGAAAATAAAAACTGCATGTACAGTCTAGACCTCCATGTGTAAATCGCCCTGAGAGACTAACAGAGACTTCTGTTATGATTTGCTGTGATAGAAATAAAACCGATTTGACTCGATCTCAACCATATATTTTTCAATGTTAGAAAGAGGCAAAGCACAAGGATGACTCTAGGGGCAGATCCAAGATATACTACATTTTACACAGACACATACATGGTGTTAGGTGGTGTTGGAGCTGGGATGGTGGCAGTTACAGCCGTCCGAGTGCTTCTCCTTACACAAAGACTGTTGTTTAATGAAGTCCTGTTTCTGTAACTGACTGACAGTTGATGCTATGGCAATGCCATTGTGGTTAACATCTTAACCCATATCTGTGAACAGTATACCCTATAACAGAACATTATTTTTTAGTTCATATTATTTAAGAGCGTAAATTATGAATACCGACAGTCTGAATCAAGCCTCTGATCACCATAAACAAATCAGGGAGGGAGTTGATTTAATTCATTGCTCAACTTAAATTTATCATAACATTTAGGCTGCTGTTACTTACGGGTACAAGATAAATGAAGGTACTAATAAATTGTTGGCCGATACTCGTCTGTCACAGCATATCAGGCTATATCAGTAACTGCATATATTAACCAATTAATATCTAACGTAGTAATTTCTGAATTGACCTATGGGCCTCTAGTTTTGCAGCACCTGTGCTTCGCCAACTGGGTGTGGCCAGGCGGATTTTGCAAGTTTGGCACACCATGCACCTCCGTCCCTCCTACCTGCGCAAGTCAGAAAGAGGGAGGAGAGAAGGCGTGGAGTGGGTTTTACACACATCACATCAATCAAATGAGCCCCTCTCCTCTCCCTTAAATGCTCCGCGCGAAGGCGTAATGAGAGTTTACTCAATTTGCCATGGCAGAAGAGAGCAGCAGCATCAGACGGCCACATTTCTCCCAAGAGGAAACTGATGTTTTGGTCCAGGAGGTCCAAGCTCGCAGTGTCAGAATATACTGAACTGCGAGCAGACCTTCACTGGCTGATGATGCAAAGGTAGCCTGGGAGGAGGTCACCACAATTGTAAATCAGTGTTGCATTTCTCTCGTGCGTGCACTCTCTCCTTCTCTCTCGCAGTCTCACTGTTTCTTTTCTTTTGACTTTTCTAAGATGACAGATGCTGAATATATACTCCCTATCTGATGCTGTGGCTGTTTGTGGTTGGCTGAGAGGGATGTGAACTCATTAGTTTGCAGCTGTGTTAATCAAATCAGGTTGGGTTTCCATTACGCGTGCCAAACGTGCCAAACAGTGCCAATCCCCTTTGATCTGACATCAGATGTGACGGGACAGTCGATATAGAGATATATTTATGTGCGGATTGCAGATAGTTGCATTGAATAGTGGGGTTTTTTTTGGGTAGTTATTGCATTGTTAATGTGCCTGACATTCTGGAAACCTGCCTGTGAGGTTTTGGTGACGTGTGCGCACTGTCTGCCAGTCAGCCGGTCAGCCAAACTTCCACTTACACCGCCTGCGCTCCGCCTGCGCTGACAGTAGACCTGGTTTCAACTGGCGAGCTTTTAGCGCACCTTCGGCGAAGCCTTTTGGCACTGTCACACCTATGACTTAGGTGAGAGAAGTGTAACCATCACTAGAACCAGACTCTTCACATAGGTCAACAAAGGATGACAAGCACACACTGAGGCAAGGTGCAGGGTGATTTATTTTCCCAACATCAAAAGCAGCAAAACAGGGGACAAATCCTGGATTGCCTTCGAAGAAAGATGTCGAGAGCTCCTCACAGCACTTCTTTAGCAGGACTCAATGAACTGGGAAGGTGGTACGCTGTTTTTATACTCTATAACCCCGCCCACCAGCACAATCCGTTTTAATATCACATTATCTGTGTGTTTTTTTTAACTGTAGTCAAGGTCATCCTCTGTTCACACTTTTAAAATTGTTTATACAAAATTCATATGCTTTTAACACAGGGATCGAGGAAAGAGTGGAAGGAGAGAAAATGCACTCCCGAGGAGGCTAAGGCAAGAGAGGCACTCACCTCACATAATGGCAGTTTGATGGAGAATGTAATGTTGGCACAAGAAGTGAGGACAGAGGATGAGGTAGAAGACACAGATCTCTCCATGCTCACTACCACTCAGCAGGCTGACCTCAGTCACTTGCCTGAAAGGCAGGCTCTTGAACTCACCCAGGTTTGGGAAGAGTACCTAGTATTGTTTAGTGGGAAACTGGGGAAAACTCACCTCATCGAGCATGTGATTCATTTAAAGGATTCCAACCCTATCCGGCAGCGACCCTACCGGGTACCAGAGAGACTGGTAGACCCCCACAACCAGGAAATTCAAATCATGCTGGATCTTGGAGTGATTGAACCATCAAACAGTAAATGGTGTAGTCCTATCGTCCTTGTTCCAAAAAAAGGATTCAACGCTCAGGATTTGTAA